TAAATAAATAAATACATAAATAAATAAATAAGTAAATAAATAAATAAATATATAAACAAATAGATAAACGAACAGATAAATAAAACAAAACTAAATAAAGAAGCAAAACAAAACAAACAAATAAATAAATAAATAAATACATAAATAAAATAAATAAATAAAACAAATAAATAAGTTCATCTCCCTGTCTCTAAGCCATCTAAATAAATAAAAAAACAAAACAAATAAACAAATGTATAAATAAAAAACAAATAAACAAATAAATAAATAAATAGAAAAAATAAATAAATATATGAATAAATAACAACACAAATAAATAAACAAAAACAAAACAAAAACAAAACAAATAAATAAACAAAAGCAAAACAAACAAATAAACAAATAACAAAACAAATAAATAAATAAACAAAAACAAAATAAATAAATAAATAAATAAATAAAAACAAAAACAAAAATATAATTAAATAAAGAATTATATAAGAAAATAAAAATAAATAGATATATAAAAAAGCTGCTACTGCTATTGCTCTTGCTGGTGTATTATATTTTACTCATGCTGCTGCTGTTCCTGCTGCAGCTGCTGTTGCTACTACTGCTACTGCTGCTGCGGCTGCTGCTGTTGCTGCTGCTGCTGCTGCTGCTGCTGCTGCTGCTGCTTACCTTTTGATATCATCGTATGCTTCCTTTGCGAGGGTAGCGAACAGCACGAAACCCAGAGGAGCCAGATACGTGAACAGGGGCCCCACCTGCAGCAGCAGCAGCAGCAGCAGCAGCAGCATGTGAAGCAGCAGCAGCAGCAGCAGCTTGTGCAGCAGCAGCAGCAGCAGCAGCAGCAGCATGGGGTAAATGACGCACCTGGAGGAGAGGGACGAGCTGAGCCAGAGCAACGAGAAGATAAAACATGTTAAAGAAAAACCTGAAGCAGCAGCAGCAGCAGCAGCAGCAGCGACAGCAACAGCAGCAACAGCAGCAGCAGCAACAGCAGCAGCAGCAACAGCAGCAGCAGCAACAGCAGCAG